ATCTTTCACAGAGAGGACCTAAAAGCCAGGGCACTATTACCTAGGAACACCCCTGCACACAGAGACTGCAGCTTCTAAATAGTATTCTCTGTTAAAAGAAAACTAGATTTTTCTGATTTGGGGGCTGGAGACAAATGTACCAGGAACAAGCTTGCCCAGAAAATAATTATTTACCCATGAAATTAGGAGAAAATATATATATATATATATTTTTTTTTTTTGAGACAGAGTTTCGCTCGTTACCCAGGCTGGAGTGCAATGGCGCGATCTCGGCTAACCGCAACCTCCGCCTCCTGGGTTCAGGCAATTCTCCTGCCTCAGCCTCCTGAGTAGCTGGGACTACAGACACGCGCCACCATGCCCAGCTAATTTTTTGTAGTTTTAGTAGAGACAGGGTTTCACCATGTTGACCAGGATGGTCTCGATCTCTTGACCTTGTGATCCACCCGCCTGGGCCTCCCAAAGTGCTGGGATTACAGGCTTGAGCCACCGTGCCCGGCCCAGGAGAATATATTTTTAAAGATTCAGAAGATAGCTTGATGGAGACCTTACTTATTGAATCTGGAAAAATATGTGCATCAAATTTACAGTAGCTAACTATACCCCATAGAATAAGAATTTATGATACATGCTCCTACAAGTAAATGGGTAAATAAATGATTAAGGATAACTCTTCCTTACAAAATTCCAATTAAGAAATGCAGAAGAAACTAAGGAATTAGAAAATCACTTTTTGTGCTAGGTTCGGTGGCTCACACCCGTAATCCCAGCACTTTGGGAGGCTGAGGCGGGAGGACTGCTTGAGTCCAAGAGTTTGAGACCAGTCTGGGCAACATAATGAGACCTCGGCTCTACAAATAAAAAAATTTGATTAAGCATGTTAGCATGTGCCTGTGGTCCCAGGTACCCACGAGACTGAGGTGGGAGGATCACTTGAGCCCAGGTCAAAGATGTAGTAAGCCATGATCGTGCCACTGCACTCCACCCTAGGCAACAGAACAAGACCCTGTGGCAGACCAACAAAAAGAAGAAAAAGGAAAACCACCATTTGGCAACCACTAGAGCAATAGCTTCAGACATACCTCATGTTACTTCACTTTGCAGATATTTTTTTTTTTACAAGTACGAGTCCTGTGGCACCATTTTTTCCAACAGCATGTGCTCACTTTTTGTCTCTCACATCCTGGTAATTTTTACAATATTTCAAATATTTTCATTATTTTATTTACTGTGGTGCTCTGTGATTTTTTCTTTCTTTTTTTTTTTTTTTTAAAGACAGTGTCTCTCTCTGTCACCCGGGCTGGACAGCAGTGGTGTGATTTCGGTTCACTGCAACCCCTGCCTTCTGGGTTCAAGTGATTCTCCTGCCTCAGCCTCCCAAGTAGCTGAGACTACAGGTACCTGCGATGCCCAGCTAATTTTTTCTATTTTTAGTAGAGACGGGGTTTCACTATGTTGGCCAGGCTATTCTCAAACTCCTGACCTCGTGATTTGCCCACCTGGGCCTCCCAAAATGCTGGGATTACAAGCATGAGCCACTGTTCCCAGTCACTCTGTGATCTTTGATGTTCCTATTTTAATTGTTTTGGGGTACCACAAACTACAACCTTGGAAGACAGCAAACTGACTAAATGCTATGTTCTCATTGCTCCACCAAGTGGCTACTCCCCCACTCTCTCGCCCTTTCCCTGGGCCTCCTAATTCCCTGAGGCACAACAATATTGAAATTAGGTCAATTAATTACCCCACAATGGCCCCTAAATGTTCAAGTGCAAGGGGGAGTTGCACATTTCTCACCAGGTGCAGCAGCTCACACTTGTAATCCCAGCGGGTTGGGAGGCACAGGCGGGGGTATCACTTGAGGTTAGAAGTTCAAAATCAGCCTTGGAAACAGTAAAGTCCTGTCTCTTTAAAAAAAATAATTAGCCAGCCAAGGTGGTGCATACCTGCAGTCTTAGTTACTCAGGAGACAGGAAGATCACTTAAACTCATCAGTTTGAGGCTGCAATGGGCTTTAATTGCGCTACACTCCAGCCTGGGCAAAAGCGAGACCATGTCTCCAAAAAAAAAAAAAAAAAACCGGGATAGGCCAAAATCTAGGCCTCTTGTGCCAGTTAGCCAAGTTGTGAATGCAAAGGAAAAGTTCTTGAAGGAAATTAACTGCTATTCCAGTGAACACACAAATAAGAAAGGAAAACAGCCTCACCACTGACAGAAAGTTTTAGTGTCTGGATAGAAGATCAGACCAGCCACATTCCCTTAAGACAAAACCTAATCCAGAGCAAGGCCCTAACTCTAATTGTATGAAGGCTGAGAGGTGAGTTAGCTGCAGAAGAAATGCTGGAAGCTGGCGGAGATCAGTTCATGAGGTTTAACAAGCCCTTTCCATAACATAAAAGTACAAAGTGAAGCAGCAATTGCTGATGTTGAAGCTGCAGCAAGCATTTCCCAAAGATCTAGATAACAGGTAGAGGTAGTAATACTCGAGTTTTAATAGAGACAAAACAGTCTTACTTCAGAAAATGCCATCTAGGACTTTCATAGCTCTAGGGAAGTCAGTATCTGACTTCTAGGCTTCAAAGAACAGGCTGACTCTTACTTTACTTTGTAGAGACAGGGTCACACTGTTGTGCTGGCTGGTCTTCAACTCTTGGCCTCAAGTGATCCTCCAGCGTCAGCCTCCCAAAGCATTAGAATTATAGGTGTAAGCCACTGTGCCCAGCCTGGGCTGGCTTTCTTGTTAGGAGCCAATGCAGTTGGTGACTTTAAATGAATGCTACTGCTCATTTACCATTCCAAAAACCAAAGAGCCAGTAAGAATCATGCTACATCTTCTCTCCCTGTGGTATCTATTTACATCTATTTACAGCATGGTTTACTGAATATTTTAAGCCCACTGTAAAACATACTGTTCAGAGATTCCTTTCAAATTACCACTGATAATGCACCTAGTAACCAATACCTCTTATGGAACTATAAACAAGATTAACATTTTCATGCCTGCTAACTGCAGCCCATGAATTAAGGAATAATTCTGAATTTCAAGTCTTTATGTAAGAAATACATTTTATAAGGCTATAGCTGCCACTAATAGTGCTTCTTCTGATGGATCTAGGCAAATAAAATTGCAGACCTTGCAGAAAGGCTTCACCATTCTAGATGCCATTAACAACATTTGTGATTCATGGAAGGAGGTCAAAATATCAACATTAAGGCAGGTGTGGTGGTGTATGCCTGTACTCTCGGCTACTCAGGCGGCATAGGCAGGAGGATCACTTGAGAGGCCAGTTCAAGGCTACAATGTGCTCTCATTGTGCTGGTGAATACCCACTTGTACTCCAGCATGAGCAACAGACACTATGTCTCTAAAAAAAAAATAAAAACCAACGTTAACCAGAGATTGGAAGAAGTTAATTCCAACTTTCACAGGTGACTCTCAAGGGTTCAAGTTCTCAGTAGAAAAAGTAACTATGGATGTGATGGAAAAAAGAGAACTAGAATTAGAAGTGGGGCCTGAAGATGTGAAAGAATTGTTTCAATCTCATGAAAAAACTTGACTAGATGAGGGGTTGCGTTCATAGATGAGCAAAGAAAGTGGTTTCCTGAAATAAAATCTACTCCTGGTGAAGATGCTGTGAATGTTGCTGAAACCCCAACAGACTTAGAATATTACATAAACTTAGCTGATCAAGCAGTAGCGAAGTTTGAGAGGATTAGTCCAATTCCAAAAGAAGTACCACTATGTGTAAAATGTTAGTAAACAGTATCACAGGGTACAAACAAGTTTTTCATTAAATGAAGTCAATGCAGCAAACTTCACTGCTGTCTTTAAATAAAGACTGCCACAGCCACCCTGACAACAGCCATCAACACTGAGGCAAGACCCACCACAAGCAAAAAGATTACAACTCGCCAAAGTCGCAGATGATCATAGTAGTTTTTGGCACTAAAGTATCTTAAACTAAGGTACTTTACTTAGACGTAACACAACTATACACGAGAGACTACCGTATGATGTAACGGGAAACCAAAACATATGTATGATTCATATTATTGCCATGGTCTGGAACCAAACCTGCAATATCTTCTGGGTATGCCTGCATCTTGTATCAATAGGATCTGTCTCCATTGCAACATCTTATATACTTAGAAAGACCTAAGGAAATAATGAGGGCTATTTCCTACATTGTATGCACTAGGGTGAATTCTCAAATGTTTGTAACTACAATCCAATCACTTAAGAACATGTATCAACAACAATTATTAAAAAAAAAAAAAAAAAAAAAAGGCCGGGCACAGTGGCTCACGCCTGTAATCCCAGCACTTTGGGAGGTCGAGGTGGGCAGATCACGAGGTCAAGAGATGGAGACCATCCTGGCCAACATGGTGAAACTCCGTCTCTACTAAAAATACAAAAAAAGTAGCTGGGCGTGGCGCTGCACGCCTGTAGTCCCAGCTACTTGGGAGGCTGCGGCAGAATTGCTTGAACCTGGGAGGCAGAGGTTGCAGTGAGCCAAGGTCGCGCCACTGCACTCCAGCCTGACACCTGGTGATGGAGCGAGACTGTCCCCCCCTCCCCAAAAATAAGAAAAAAAAAAAAAAATATCCGGGCGCAGTGGCTCATGCCTGTAATCCCAGCACTTTGGGAGGCTGAGGTGGGCGGATCACCTGAGGTTGGGAGTTCATGACCAGCCTGACCAACATGGAGAAACCCCATCTTTTAAAAAAAAAAAAAAGGATGGGCATGGCGGCTCACGCCTGTACTCCCAGCTCTTTGGGAGGCCAAGGTGGGTGTATCATCTGAGGGAGACCAGCCTGGCACACATGGCGAAACCCCGTTTCTACTAAAAATACAAGAATTAGCTGGGCATGGTGGCAGGCGCCTGTAATCCTAGCTACTCGGGAGGCCGAGGCAGAAATGCTGGAACCCAGGAGGCAGAGATTGCAGTGAGCCAAGATCATGCCATTGCACTCCAGTGACAAGAGCAAAACTCTGTCTCAAAAAAAAAAAAAAAAAAAAAAATCCAATGGTTCCCTAACATTTCTAAAATCTATGGGGGACACAGAGAGTGTGAATTTTTTCATTTCTTCAAAGTGAATGGGAATAACTGAAGGCCTCCGCACATTCTTTGCACCAATAAGATTTCTCAACAGTGTGAATTCAAATGTAGCAATTATGGCATAAGAAATTCCTAAGATTTCCACATTCCTTACATTCAGAGTTTTCTTCTTCAGTGTGTTTTTAAATGTTTAGTAAGTAAATAAAATCTATTGTAGGCTTTCCCACATTCGTTACATATATAGGGTTTCTCTCCAGTGTGAATTCTAACGTGTTTCTGTAGGTGTGAAGAAGCACGAAAGGTTTTCCCACATTCCTTACATATATACGGTTTCTCTCCAGTGTGAGTTCTTATATGTTCGATGAGTTGCGAAGATGTAGCAAAGGCTTTCCCACAGTCCTTACATTCAAAGGGCTTCTCTCCGGTATGGATTTTTACATGATTATGTAAGCTTGAGGAAACAGTGAATGCTTTCCCACAGTCCTTACATTTATAGGGTTTTATTCCAGTGTGAATTCTAAAGTGATTCTTAAGGCATGAAGAGCTTCTAAAGGATTTTCCACATACCTTACATTCAAAGGGCTTCTCCTCTGTGTGAGTTTTAAAATGTTCAGTTAGCAGATAAAACCTATTGTAGGCTTTCCCACATTCGTTACATTCATAGGGCTTCTCTCCAGTGTGTATTCGTACATGTTTAGTAAGGCCTGAGCGCCCAGCGAAGGCTCTTCCACATTCCTTACACTGATAGGGTTTTTCTCCAGTATGAATTCTTACATGTTCAACTAGGTGTGAAGAAACAGTGAAGCATTTCCCACATTCTTTACATTCGTAGGGTTTCTCCCCAGTATGGGTTCGCATGTGACTATTAAGATATGAAGAATACCTAAAGAATTTTCCGCATTCCTTACATTCGTAGGGTTTTTCTACAGTACGCATTTGAACAGACACAGCATGGCTTGTGGAGTAAGTAAAAGCTCTCCCACATTGCTTCTGCTCATAGAGATTTTCTCCACTGTGAGTTATCCTATTTGGCTGAAGATGTGACTGATCAACAAAGGCTTCCTCACAGTCACTGTATTCAAAGGATTTGTCTCCTATCCACGTTCTCTGGTGAACATTTGGTGGCAGGCTAAAGGCTTTTCTACACTGATTCAACACAGAAAGTGTCTCTCCAGTAGGGGCACTGTTGTGGAACATGGGAAAGTTTTCTCCATACTCCTCACAGTCATAAGTGTCCCCTGTATTTTCAGTTTCCACGTGTGTATTAAGGCATGAGTGTTCACTAAAGATTTCTCCATTTTCCATAAAGTCACAGAGTTCCCCTCCATTGTGGATTTCAGCCTGTTAATAAAGAGATGAATAATGATTAAAGGATTTTTCAGACTTATCAATAAATTCTACTCATCTGAAATGAGATACTTTATTGTAATTTTTGCCATTTTCATTACATGCATACAGTTTGCTGCCCCATGGAACTTTTACAAGCTGAATGAAGAAAACCTGCTGGCAAGAACCTTGTGCCATTTGCTCTAAGAACCTTGAAATAATTCCTGTATATTTTCATGAAATTGTTTTTATAATCTCTATCTAGCTATCTAGCTACAGGTGATAATTTGTGAGAATACTGAAGCACCAAGTTTTAAGATAGGATCAGGGTATCCCCAAATTCATTATGTTTAGAGTATCCCTCTAGACCAGAGGTCCCCAACCTTTTTGGAACCAGGGACCAGTTTCGTAGAAGAAAATTTTTCCACAAACAGGGGTGGAATGGGGGTAGGATAGGGATGGTTTCAGCATGATTCAAGCACAATACATTTATTGTGACTTCATTTCTATTATTATTACATTATAATATATGATTAAATAATTATACAATTCCCCATAATGTAGAATCAGGAGGAGGCCTGAGCTTGTTTTCCTGCAACTAGACAGTCCTATCTAGGTCATGGGAGACAGTGACAGATCAGGCTCATAAGAAGCACACAATCTAGAACCCTAGCACAGGCAGTTCACAATAAGGTTTGTGCTATGAGAATCTAATGCTACGACTGATCTGACAGGAGGAGCTCAGGCAGTAATACGAGTGATGGGTAATGGCTATAAACACAGATGAAGCTTTGTTCACTCACTGCTCACTTCCTGTTGTGCAGCCCAGTTCCTAACCAGTACCAGTGGGGAACCTTGCTCTAGAGACATAACTCCTGCTTGGGTAAATGCTACCGCTCTCAAATATCTCTAATTTTTGCTGATATTTTATAATGGAATTCTCAATCTTTTTGAGTGTGGTAAATAAGAAATCTTAATCTTACCATTTGTATGCCGTTTGATGTTTTGTTAAGCCAAAAAAAAGGTTGTTGAAGTGCTGACACTTTGGTTTTAACTTGTCATTCTGAAGTAAAACAGAAAAAAAAAAAGAAAAAAAGGGTCTGAGAACAAAATGGTAGGTTAAATAAGGAAGAATTAAAAAGCTCATTTATATTTTTCATATTCAGCACACTCAAAAAAAATTAAACAAGCACAGATTTGAACAGTTCATCCATGACTAATATGGACCACAATTAAGGACTTGGAGTCTAAATTTAATAATTTTTTTTTTTTTTTTTTAATACAGAGTCTCACTCTGTCACCCAGGCTGGAGTGCAGTGGCATGACCTCGGCTCACTGCAGCCTCTGCCTCCGAGTAGCGTGGATTACAGGTGCCCACCACCACGCCTGACTATTTTTTGTATTTTTAGTAAAAATAAAGTTTCTCCATGTTGGCCAGCCTGGCCTTGAACTCCTGACCTCAGCTGATCCACCCACCTCAGCCTCCCAAAGTGCTGGGGTTACAGGTATGAGCCACCGCACCTGGCAATTTGTAATTTTTAAAACAATTTATTCTATAGAAATTAAATGAGATAGTGAAAAGAAATAGTATTATTAGAGAAGGAAAGCAGAAACAATCTGGATAAAGAGCACACATTGAAATCATAAACAACAACAAAAAAAGCAGAACATTTGCAAAATCATATGAAACTCTGGGTTAGATGAAAAAGAGAGGAATATGGAAAGTTGAAGACACCCTAAAACTTCCGAGTCCAAGGCCGGGCACGGTGGCGCGTGCCTGTAATCCCAGCTACTCAGGAGGCTGAGGCAGGAGAAATGCCTGAACCCAGGAGGCGGAGGTTGCAGTGAGCCGAGATCGCGCCATTGCACTCCAGCCTGGGGAAAAAAAGAGAAACCCCCTTTCAAAAAAAACAAAAAAAAAAAAAACTTCCGAGTCCAAAGGCCCCATGTTCTGTGACAAACTACATCTTTTAAATGTCTTCATTATGCTTCCAAACACACTGAACTTCTCATTGACCAGGAATGTTCTTCACACTCACCTTGGAGAACTCCTATTGACAATGTGCTCAACTTTTCTTCCTCCTCCAGTCAAGAGACAGACTGAATTTGAACAGGTCCTGTACATACGAGAAAATATACCAATGGAAGAGGCTTATGCAAGAGATGACAAATCTATCCAAGAAAAGTTAACTATATTCCTAAAGAGAGTAGTGAAGCTATTTTAAAAGAGCTCAAATTTCATATATCTCATCTTTTTATGCCCTGAGGAGATTGGTTATCTCTGACCCAATACCCACCATTCAGGCTCAAATACACATTTAAAAACCAGTAAAGAGTGGACACAGTGGCTAATGCCTGTAATCCCAGCTCTTTGGGTGATTTTAAAAATCACCTGAGCCCAGAGAGGTTGAGCCTGCAATGAGCCACGATTGCGCCACTGTACTCCAGCCTACGAGACAGAGTGAGACCATGTCTCCAAAAAAATAAAATAAAAACCATTAAAACTTTTATTCAAACAGGAAATAATGCAAGTGCAAAGACAGATTATTATTTTGTTTTTTGGTTTTTTTTTTTGAGACAGAGTCTTACTCTGTCACCCAGGTGGAGGGCAATGGTGCAATCTTGGCTCACTGTAAACTTCTACCTCCCAGGTCCAAGCGATTCTCCCACCTCAGCCTCCCAAGCAGCTGGGAGTACAGGCAGCTGATACCATGCCTGGCTAAATGTTTTTTGTATTTTAGTAGAGATGGGGTTTCACCATGTTGGCCAGGCTGATCTTGAACTCCTCACCTCAGGTGATCCACCCACCTTGGCTTCCCAAAATGCTGGGATTACAGGCGTAAGCTACCACGCCCAGCTGAGATCATTGTTTTTTTTTGACAGTGTTGTCAGAAGTTTGAATATTGTGTCTTTTGGAGCTTTTCTTTTTTTTTTTTTGGAGACGGAGTTTCGCTCTTGTTACCCAGGCTGGAGTGCAATGGCGCGATCTCGGCTCACCGCAACCTCCGCCTCCTGGGTTCAAGCAATTCTCCTGCCTCAGCCTCCTGAGTAGCTGGGACTACAGGCACGCGCCACCATGCCCAGCTAATTTTTTGTAGTTTTAGTAGAGACGGGGTTTCACCATGTTGACCAGGATGGTCTCGATCTTTTGACCTCGTGATCCACCCGCCTCGGCCTCCCAAAGTGCTGGGATTACAGGCTTGAGCCACCGCGCCCGGCCTTGGAGCTTTTTTCATATCATTGTATTACATCTCTCTCTCTCTGTCTTTTTTTTCTTTTTTTGAGACAGATTTTTGCTCTGTCATAGGCTGGAGTGCAGTGGCACAATCTTAGCTCACTGCAACCTCTGCTGTCACCCGCCCTGGTTCAGACGATACAAAAACTAGCCAGGCATGGTGGCACATGCCTGTAGTCCCAACTACTCAGGGGGCTGAGGCTGCAATGAGCCGAGATCATGCCACTGAACTTCAGCCTCGGCGACAGAGTAAGACTGTCTCAAAAAAAAAAAAAAAAAAAAAAATAGAAAGAAAGAAAGAAAGAAAGAAAAAAACTCAGAGAGCTTCTTTAGGACAGCCCTGAAATAAAGCTACTTCTTATGTTCTCAGACCTGAAACTGTTATAATTAATGAGGCTCATATGCCAGAGCTTCCCTGGTATAATGGGAAAGAGGGAATCCTAGAGACAGGAGTGTCACTGGATTTACTATGTGTCATCTGTATAGCCCACTTCCCTGTCCTCTGTTGAGAGTGCAGAAGACACTCTCTTCACAAAGGTTATTGAGAGAGGAGTGAGAGGAGTATTGTAATCCTTGAAGAGCTCTGCTGGTATTCTCCTTCATAGGACAGGTATGACTGCAAAGAATACCATCACTGAGATGAGTTCCCTGCTTTCAGTCAAGATGAAGGGGACCCAGAATAGGAGAAATCACCAAAGACAAGGTGAGCAAATCAACTATCAAGGACAGTGGAAATGTATCAGTAATCAGAATGTCCTGACCTACAGAGATCTGTGGTGGTGGCTTACTAATCGTGCCATCCCTAGAAATGAAACAGATAAGCAGTTAACAAATACCACTCTAAAGAGCCACAAAATATATGTTAGTCATTATGGGCCATACGGTCTCTGTTGCAACTACTCAACTCTGCTGTTGTAGCATGGAAAACATCATAGAAAACATAAACAAATGAACACGGTTGTATTCTGATTAAACTTTATACATGAACAACACGTGGAGGGACAGACATGGCCCATGGGCTATGGTGTGCCATTCTCTGTACTTGAATGCTGTTCTATCTACGTAAAAAAGTCTAGGCTGGGCGTGGTAGCTTACTCCTGTAACCCCAGCACTTTGGGAGGCAGGCGGATCACAAGGTCAAGAGATCAAGACCATCCTGGCCAACACGGTGAAACCCAGTCTCTACTAAAAATATAAAAATTAGCTGGGCATGGTGGCACATGCCTGTAGTCCCAGCTAGTCGGGAGGCCGAGGCAGAAGAATCGCTTGAACCCAGGAGGCAGAGGCAGCAGTGAGCCAAGATTGCACCACTGCACTCCAGCCTGATGATAGAGTAAGATTTTGTCTCAAAAAAAAAAAAAGTCTGATGTAGCCAAAAACTTGAGTTATCCCAGTGGAGAATCATGACCTCTCACTCAATTACCACACCTAAATCATTCACAAATCATGAACTTAGGTGATCACTCCAATTACAGCCAACTTTCAAAATGTAATGTCTACCAGAACACATCAACATAATTTCTGTCACTTGGTATTCCTGTCACAGGTACTGGCACAGCCCATGTCTTTTCCCCATACCAATTTGAAAAAGCCAAGACTCAGTTACCTTTTACCTGGCAGGACCAACAATGTATCTTCACAACACTGCCCTAACCTGTGTCGGTTCTCCAGGTCTCTGTCATAAACAGAGGTCTCCAGGTCTCTGGGCCTCCCAGAGATAATGACGTTCCATGAAACACCACACTGGTACACTATGTTGACACCACTATACTGATCATATGCAATAAGTAGGAAGTAGAAAATACATTTTTAAAAATTAGAGACAGGGTCTTACTCTGTCACCCAGGCTGGATTACAGTGGTGTGATCATAGTTCACTGCAAACTCAAACTACTGGGCTCAAGCAATCTTCCTGTGTCGGCCTCCCAAGTATGTGGGACTACAGGCACATCCTACCATGCCTGGCTAATTTTTTTTCCCCCTATAGACACGAGGTTTCACTATGTTGACCAGGCTAATTTCAAACACCTGGCCTCAAACAATCCTCCCACTTCAGCCTCCCAGTGTTAGGATTACAGGCATGAACCACTGTGCCCTACCTGAAAACACCTTAGACAACTTTATTAGAAACGTGCAGCATTTATGATTCCAAAATGGCAGTACAGAAGTAAGCTGGTTTCACTCCCCTTCCAGAAAACCAAAACCAAATACACACCGTGAAAATTATTACCAGCAATATCCCTGATCTCAAATATAAAAATTAGGCAGTTTCTGAGGCTACAAAGAAGTGAAAAAACTCCAGAGAGATGTTAAGAGAATCAAATTTCCATATCCACGACACCCTTCTCCTTAATCTGTCCAACACCAAGAATGTGGAAAATTTCCATCGATTCACAGTTTCTACACTGGAAAAAATTGCGATCGAGGTAGACAACCATCTTCTCCATCACCGTGGGTTCCCTGGTAAAAGATCAGTCCCTCCCTGTCTCAACCACAAGTGCCTGAAGGGAGAAATACCCTGAGGACATCCAGGGACCAAACAAAAAAAAAAAAAAAAAACGGAGGCAGGACTCCCATCCCCAGCCCTGGAAACTCTGTTTTATAACTTGGCCAAAGGAGAAGGTAAATCAGAGCGGCTGTTCAGGCTGTTCAGGACAACTATGCTGTAGGGGCATGCTACACAGGCCCCTGGGCATGAACACACAGCCAGCCTTCCCCCATTGCTGGGATATGCCCTTTGGAACTCCCCCATTCTAGATGGGCAGTATTCTTTTTTTTTTTTTTTTTGATGGTGTATCACTGTGTCTCCTAGACTAGAGTCCAGTGGTGTGATCTCGGCTTCCTGCAAACTCTGCCTACCATGTTCAAGTGATTCTCCTGCCTTAGCCTCCCCAGTAGCTAGGATTACAGGCACCCGTCACCATACCTAACTGAATTTTTTGTATTTTTTTAGTAGAGACAGGGTTTTTCCAAGTTGGCCAGGCTGGTCTCAAACTCCTGACCTCAGGTGATCCTCCTGTCTCAGCCTCCCAAAGTGCTGGGATTACAGGCGTGAGCCACAGCGCCTGGCCTGGACAGTATTCTTGATTGTTTGCTAGAGAAGAGGGAAACGTGAGTTTAAGATTCCATCTAGTGCTGAAAAGGAAGCAGTGACCCACGGAAATTTTAAAGAAAGAAAATCACTTTGGGAGGCTGAGACAGACAGATCAGCCTGGGCAACATGATACAAACCCTTCTCTACTAAAAAGTACAAAAAGTAGCCAGGTGTGGTGGCATGCACCTTACCTACTAGGGAGGCTGAGGTGGGAGGACTGCTTCAGCCCTAGGAGGTAAAGGCTGGACTAAGCCATGATCACACCACTGCCTGCACTCCATCCTGGTGACAGAGATAGACCTCGCCTCAAAAAAATAAAAAAATAAACAAATAAATAAAAATTATAAATAATCTAAGAAAACGTACCCAATAAAAATTAGAAGCCAAGGCCGGGCACGGTGGCTCAAGCCTGTAATCCCAGCACTTTGGGAGGCCGAGGTGGGTGGATCACAAGGTCAAGAGATCGAGACCATCCTGGTCAACATGGTGAAACCCTGTCTCTACTAAAAATACAAAAAATTAGCTGGGCATGGTGGCGCGTGCCTGTAATCCCAGCTACTCAGGAGGCTGAGGCAGGAGAATTGCCTGAACCCAGGAGGCAGAGGTTGCAGTGAGCCGAGATTGCGCCATTGCACTCCAGCCTAGGTAACAAGAGCGAAACTCCGTCTCAAAAAAAAAAAAAAAAAAAAA